TCATCCAAATCTCAAGTTTAATAACATTAGTGCATCAAATTTTAATTACACTCATATCATGTCATCAAATATTAACTATATCTATAATATATTATTATAATTTCAATTATATTCATATCAAAATAATCTCAGATCTCACAATTTTAATCACAAATTACATACTTCAATACTTCATTACTCAATTAACGAATTATAGTTTGATAAAGTTTTCAAGTGAACTATTCTAAAAAATATAATATATGTGCATTTTATATTCCCAATTTTTAGAGCATCAATCAATTAATAACAATTCAATAACATTAATTATAGTGATTTATTTAAATATAAATTAATTCAAATATATTTTTTATTTTATATCTATCATATAATTAAAGCTGAAATTAAGTTTGAAACATTAGACGTTCAAGCCCACACAAGATGACCTGGTTACGGACAAGAAGAGTTGATAACACTTTAATAGAGTAGTACAATATCTTAGGGTACTATAAAATTCTCATTTCATATTTATGTAAAAATGCTATAAAATTATAATTACATATTTATGGAAAAATAATTTCAGATCATAATATATATGAATTAAACTTTATAAAATTAAAACTCATAAGACTTGTGTTTTAAACATTATAAAATGGATAACATAGATAATAGATATATAATAAATGGATTGATGCAAACACAAACTTAAATCCGTGACATTATTTTTCACAATTTACTGATAAAAATCTTATATGGGCTCTATCGTTTTGAATACAGAATAGGAACTCTTTAAATATGTATTTTTATTCTTCTTACGTATCAGTGAATGTTTATATATATATTTTTTTACTAGTTTTTCAGTTTAATTTTATTTTCCTATTTATGCATCTCCATTCTTGTTTAAGACATGAGCATGACCTATGTTATTATATGCAATACCTCGTTTTGAATAAGAAGAAATTTTTTTATTTAATGACATACTGACTGATGAATATACACTTACTAATGGAAGTAATTAAGAGAAAATACTAATACATGGATGTTAATATAGGTTTAAATATGTAGAGAAATGTTATACATGAGCAGTGGCGGATCTTCTTGAGAGCCGAGGGAGCGTGACCCACAAAGTTTTGTAACTCCCATGTAATTTATGATTTTAGCCCGTCCCAAATATAATGAACATTTAATATATTTACTTATATATTTACAATTTTATCCTCTAAGCCCATCTTCAGTTTTGTAACTCTCATATAATTTATGATTTTGTTCCCCTCAAACTTAATAATCATTTAATATATTTAAGTATATATCTAGGATTTTATCTTTTTACCCTTTCATCTTCTTTTTTCCTTTTATATTTATTTACTATTTATTAATAATATATTATTTGACCCCCCAAGATCATTGGTCAAGATCTGTCACTATATGAGACAAACAAACTACAATAAATTATCTTGTAACACATTTTTATTAACATAATTTTGCAAAATAAAATAATAAGAGACAATGTATTTCATAATAAAAAATAAAGATAGATGATATCTATAATTTTATTTTCAAAACACAAATCCTTTCAAATCTTATAATTTCATGATTTAAAAACATTACGTAATTCAAATTATAAAATCCTAATAATAAAATATTTTTTAAAAGAATATGACATTCTAAAAAAAAATCATAATTGAAATCTCAATTGAATATACCTCTTAAAAAATATTACTATATAATGAAGTTAATTTTATAAAATCGTTAAATTCTTGTTCTATTTGCCGATGCTTTTAGATTTATGTTAAAAAAAATAAAACCCTAATTATTGGGAAATACGTTGAGACAAAGTATTTAATAGTGAAATAATATAATAATATTTTAAAAAATTGAGTAATAATTGAGTGTCTACTTTATTCATGAATCTCACATCACTTAGGAGTTAAAGTCAAGAGTAGTTTATATACACTCTCCTCTACTAATCCATCGAAACGTTTTGTAATGACAAAACCATTATGATGGACTAAAACTCTGAACAATACCTCAGACATGAAAATTAACTTTAACGATATTATCATAGCCCCCAGTTGAAGACTAAGGAGTAGGAGTGGGACAAAACTCTTTGGTTTCTAGGAAGTCAATGTTTGATGTAACAAATAATGACAAATAATCAATAAAAGTGAAATTTTTAAGTTTCTGAGAAATTCTTTATTATCAAATTGGTATCAGAGCTCTCAGGGAGAGCCTAATTTTTTGGGTTGTTTTTAGAAGAACTAAGGTTCTTCAAAACAGGGAGAGCTTAGGGTTGAGTGTTGGGTGTTTAAAAAAAGTAAGATGGCTAGTCTGAATGCTATTGCACTTGTGTTCCGATTGATGAATGATGTTAGTTATGATAGATGGAGTGTCTAGATGAAGACTTTCCTTACAACCCAAGATTATTGGGATGTGGTAGATGACGACTATGAAGAACCAAGAGAGTACGAAAGGGTTGTCGGCCAACACACTCAAAGCATTTACGGAGAAACATTTAAAGAATATTGCAAATCTATTTTTGTTGTTTCAAGCTGTAAAGAATTTTGATTTTGAGAAGATTGTAGGAATCAATTCGGCATCTGATGTGTGGACCGAGCTGGAGAAGGAGCACAAGAAAGATGACAAATTCATTCGTGTTCGACGTCAGACACTACAAAGCAAGATGAAGAGGATGAAAATGAAGGAGTCATAAATGGTTTCCGAATACATCTTGCATGTTGTAAACATGGTGAAACACCTTATTCAAAATGAAGAAACGTTTTCAACATAACAAATTGTTGAAAAGGTCTTGAGGTTATTAGCAAATTACTTTGAGAGTGTAGTGTGTGTGATAAAACAAACAAAGAACTTGTCCGAGATGACAATAAAGGAGTTGATTGGTTCCCTTAAAGCTTATGAACACCAAGTGAAGAAAAAGAAGGAGGACAAAGACACGAGTTTGAAATTGCTCCAGGATGAGGAGAAGGCGTTATATTCCCAGAAGAATAGAGGAAGAGGAAAAGGACGTGGTGGTCGATCTCGAGGTGGTTGATCCCGAGGTGACCAATCTGAACGAGATGGTTTCGGTTGTTGAGGTGAGGAAGAAGAAGAAGAAGAAGCTCACCAAAACTGGTGAGAAAGAGGAGATTGGCCAACGAATCAATCAGATGTTAAGTGTTTCAAGTGTGACCATTATGTGAAGGACTGCTATTCAGGAAGATGTTTCAACTGTGGAAATAAGGGACATTTCGCCAAAGAATGTCAAGGAAGGTGAGACCTATTTTGCAGAAGAGAAGGAAACTGGAATAACACTATTGATGATCGATCTCAACACGAGAATTTGTAATGAAGAAGTTTGGTCCAATACCGATCAAAGCTCATATGATATCTGGATACGGGTGCAAGTAATTACATGTGTGGGGACGAATACCTATTCATCAAATTGGAGAAATTTGATTTCGAGGATTTCGGTAAAAGGCCGAGACATTGTTTGTTTCTTGCAGAAGGATGACCTAGTCGAGTCAATTCAAGATATGTTTTATATTCCAGATCTAAAGAGTAATCTTTTGAGTGTGAGACAATTGATGGAGAGAGGATACTCAATATTCATGAAAAATCGAATACTCCAATTGAAAAACAAGTTTGGAAGGTTGATTGCTCGAGTCGAGATGAGAAAGAACATGATGTACAAGTTGGAGCTGAGAAGCATTCGGGAGATGAGTATGAGATCAGAGGACATATTGAAGGTAAATCACCTATCTGCTCACATGCACTTTTATGGTTTAACCAAGTTGATTCATGATGATAATCATGAAATTGTTCGAGTTGGTGATGCAAGTGAAAGAGACTGAATAGGGAAAGTTGTTGCACCTGTAATTGTTGTAAAATCAGAAGAAGATTGAGCTTATATGCCACCAACCGTTGTTAGTGTTTGCAAAGAAGATATTGGTAAGAAGGCGGATGACATGAAGGAGAGATTTTTCAGAGTAGTCGGTAAGGCGAGGACTCCACTTTAGAGAAATGTCAAAGCGAAGATCTTAGCTGTGTTATAAATGAGAAGGGTCGAGTTAGAGAACACAATGATATGTTGGTGATGACCAAATTAGTGAGGTATGGTCGGTCTATTGATGTAAATCATGTATTCAAAAGGATGAGAAGAGGTCGGACAATCACCGAGTAGTAAGGTACTTGGACAATGATTGGTATAAAGATGTGGATGATCGGGATAAAGGATGAAAGAAACACAAAATGCTCGAGAAGAAGAAGACACGTAGTCGGTTAGTAGGAAGCTTGAAAGTTTGAAGATCGATATGTTTTGACGGCCAAGAAGTTTTAAAGTCAATAATTAGGCGATCGGAACCAAGCTGATCTTGAAGTTTTGAAGTTGAAGGTTAGTCGGAAGCTTGAAGGTTGGGATGAAGTTGATCACAAGTTTTTCTTTGACGCAGAGAATTAATTTTACAAGGTTTTGTTAGGATAAAATTAATAACTAGTGTTAGATCGTTTATCTCTTTAATTTTCGGAATTAGAAAGTTTCTTAGACGTTTAAGAAGTGATTTTTATAAAGGAGTATTATAATGAGATTTTTGGTTTCTAATAAGTAAATGTTTGATGTAACATAATGGGAGTGTTTAAATACAAAAATATAATCCTATTTTTATTATGATAAATAATCAATAAAAATAAAGTTTTTAAATTTCTGAAAAATTCTTTATTATTAAATTTATAAGCATTACATCATTTAAAAGTCTGAAATTAATAATAATTAATAATAATTTATATACATGTTAATTTTTCAACCTATCCAAACATCTTTCAAAAGAGATAATCCTAAAATTAAAGATCATGATAAATACGTTACAGAAAGACACACGTAACAAATTGTATGATGTTTTAGTTATTGTATACAAGGAAAGAGTGATTATTCTCATACCATCTAATCAATTGCGTGTTTCTGAATTGTCTATAAAACATTTTCGAAAGTAAAATATGACAAGACGGTGGGCATTGAATAGGTGAGTGAAAGGATGGCAAACGGGAGCAGGAGAGAAGAAAGCAGAAAAGTGGAAGAAAGAGAGGGGATACCGCTTCTCACCCCATACAAGATGGGAAATTTTAATCTGTCCTACAGGTATACCCTTACCTTCTTTTTCTCTGTAGACGTGTGTGCATAAGCATGTTCATGGTGTTTGATGTTTAATCGATGTAGGATAGTGTTGGCACCGTTAACACGATGCAGGTCTTACAATTTCGTCCCTCAGCCTCATGCTGTTCTATATTATTCTCAGAGAACAACTAAGGGCGGCTTCTTGATTGGGGAGGCCTCCGGGGTGTCTCAAACGGCACAGGGGTACATATTCTTCGTTAATTTTTTCTTTTTAATCTGTCATATGTACCACACAAAGTTGATCTTGTATTGAATGGTACCTATGATCACACCGAATATCTTAAATTTCCTTAATATGAATATTTTTTTTCTATCACTATTATCAAATAATAATGTGGATATTTAAAAATTAAAATTTAATTTTTTGTTTTTCTAAATATTATTATCAGTTTATAATGATAACTCTTTATTTTTCTTTATTCAATCAAAATATTTAAACTAATATTTAAATTTATTAATTGACATTTAATTTTATTTAATAAAATTACCCTTTAAACTTAAAAGTTTCTTTTAAGATATCGATTTAAGAGTTTCTTCTATCATTTATTTCTATCAATTTTTTGAAATTTTTGAACAAAACGATAAGTAATGGTTTCGTGAATATATTTACAATTTGATCTCGGTTTACCACGTGTATAAGTTCCATATTCCTTTCTTTCATGTATTCTTGGATGAAATGAAAATGCACATTAATGTGTTTATTTCTCATATAATTGATATGGTTCTTTACTAGTTCAATAGTTGACATATTATCAATTTGGATCATATTCGGACCGAATTATTGTTCCTCCAACACCAAGATGTTATTACATACTTATGTTCATATGTTAATAATACCACTATGTGTTGTTTTTTAAAAAGTCAAGTAAAAACTTATTTTTCATAAAAAAATACGTATTCTAATGTATTTTTACGATCATCACATCTCCACAACAGTCACTATCCGAATAACCAATAAGTAAGTAATTATCCGACCTTGTTTAAAATAATGAGTTACATGTTCTTTGGATATACCTCAGTATTCGCTTTAGCGTTTTTTGTTGTGAATAGCTCGACTCTTCCATAAAAAGACTTACAATCCTAATGCTTAACAACAGGTCGGGTCTTATGCCTAAAGATAACCAAGATTTCTCATTAAACTTCGATATCTACTTGGATCAATTCGGTCTCCTCCATCAAACTTTGAGTTTCGTTTCTTGTTTCATACAGGTTAAGTTTAGATTATAGTCGACTATCTTGAACTTATTCAGAATCTTCTTTGCATATGTCTCTTGAGATGCAAATATCCTCGACTCCTCATGTATAACCACCAAACTAAGAAAAAACATATACCTAGATTAATCATCTCAAATTATCTCGTCATTGTGCTCTTAAATTCTTGAATCATTATAGAATTAATTTTCATAAAAAAAAGATCGTCAACATAAAGAACAACAAACAATATGCTACCTCCATTTTTCTTTACATACAGGGTAAGCTCATAAGAGCACCATTCAAATCCATTATCCTTGAAATAGGTATTTATCCTATTGTTTTATGCTTGAGGAGCTTGTTTTAGCCCATAAAGATCCTTTTTCAATCTCAATACTTTAATCTCATCTCCTTTGCTCACGAATCTAGATGATTGTTCAATATACATCTCTTGAACACAATATTAAAAAAATGGCGATTTAACATACATCTACATAAATGCTCATTTATATTGTGCTACTAGAGAGATCAACAACCGAACTGTCTCCATCATCATCACTGAGGTGAACACCTCATCATAGTTTATTTCTTATTTCTGTTTGTAACTCTTCACAACCAACCGAGTTTTATATCTTTCTACCTCATCATCTTGTGTATTCATTTTCTTCTTGAATACCCAATTTACACCGATTAATTGCGAGTACGTCGACAACTTAGTCATCGCCCACGTGTCATTGCATTTTATAGCTCGAATCTCCTTATCCATAACAACTCGTTACTTATCATCACGTAGTGCCTCTTCAAACCTTATATCCTAAGAATCTGTTAAAAGACACAGCATGTACCTCATTAGTGGAGTTGTACAAGTCTTGTAAACTACACATTCTAGGTTGTGGTAGGACTTATTATAACTAGTGGTATAACAATTGTTAATCCTCGACTTCTACTAGCATTCTCCAATGAATCACCTCAGTTCCATTCACTTGCTTCATCCACTTAAACAACATGACTTACCACCACCTTCTTGTTGATTGGGTATATCAATCTATAAACTTTCATCTTCTCATCATATCCAATGAAGACATATTTCTTACTCTTATCTTCAAGTTTCGTCCTTGGTTGCGTAGGTACATGTCCATAAGTAACGCTATCAAACACTATAAGGTGAGATACAATCATTTTTTGACCACTCAATATCTCTTGTGGTGTTACATCATCTAACTTTGCATGTGGACACCTATTTTTCACATAGATGACACATTGCACAACTTTCACCCAACACTCCTTTGACATGTTTTTGCTTTTCAACATTGACTGAACCATGTCAAGAACAATTCGGTTCTTCCTCTCGGTCACACCATTTTGTTGTGGTGAGTAAAAGATTCTAAAAGATCTCCTTATGTCTTCATCTTCACAGTATTTCATGAAGGTTGCTGATGTAAATTTTCCACCTCTATCAAATTGGATTGACCCAATATGTCTCCTAGTCGTCTTCTCCACTATCACCTTAGATTTCTTGAACCCCCTCAAACATCTTTGATTTCTCCCTCAGAAAATAAATCCATGTTTTTCTTGAGAAATCATCAACAAAAGTCATAAAAAACCTCTTATCATTGAACAATTAAAGAGTAATCAATCCACATAGATCAATATGAATCAGTCTGAGTCGCTTCTTCATTTGGTACTTGACTTTTTTCATAAATTCAATTCTTGCATGTTTACCAAGCTCGCATTCTTCACAAAATCTCCCCTTAAACTCTATGCTTGGTAATCCGAGCACCATAGTCTTCTTTGACAAATCAATTAGACCATCAAAATGTAGGTGACCAAAATGATGATGTGACGTTAACAAGTAGAAGATTGGGTGATCAACCCTCCAATGCTTCTCAATTACAACTTGTATATTTTATTATTTTCTATTTCAACTTGGGTGATCGACCTCCCAAGCTTATTCTTTAAATATAGTACTCGATATTTCATGAATACCAAGTACTCTTTCTCCATCAGTTGTCCCATATTCGAGATGTTACTTTTGAGATTGGGAACACAGTACACATCTTGACTCGACCTAATTAGGTCATCCTTCTACAAGTAGAAGACTGTACCTTGACCTTTTATTGAGACCTTTGAAAAATCACCAAAAGACACATATCTAGCCTCTACTTTCTTTAATTTTTTAAACAAGTGTTCATCCCTCACACATGTGATTACTTGCACCTGTGTCTAAATATCATACTGAGTTGTAATCGGTACTTTCACATCCTTCCGACTTGTGATCGACTCTACTATTGTTTCTTGACCTATGATCAGTCATCAACATTATCACTTCTACTTTATTTACAAGATTTATTTCTTCCACCTTTTTTTTAGCTCGACATTCTTTAGCAAAATATCTCATCTTTTCATAATTGTAACATTTGTTTGAGTTACAATCCCTGACATAGCGACTATACTTGTCATACTTATAACATTCAACATTATAAGTCGGTGACCAATCTCCTCTCTGATCACATTTTCTATAACACCAATTTTGCTAGTTTAAATCTTTCTCCTCACTGTTTTGCCCACGACCTCTATCACCTCGATCTCGACCTCCACATTCTCGTCCTCTACCACAAGTGTTCATAAAGTAGATTTTCTCTCTTTTAAGCGTTGTCTCATTTGGAGCATTTGTATTGCAGTCTCCTCCTCCTTCTTTTGATATTCATGAGCCTCAAGAGAACAAGTCAGTTGTTGTAGAGTGAGCTCAGACAAGTCGTTTGGTTCCTCCATCTCACATATAATGTTCTCAAAGTTGTCAGTTAACGACCTCAAGATTTTCTCCACAACTCGGCCATCAGAGAGCATTTATCCATTCTGATTAAGCTGGCTCACCATGGTCTCAACATGCGTGATGTACTAAGAAACTCCTTCCGACTCTTTCATTCTCATATTTTCAAGTTCACCATGAAATGTTTATAGGCGAACTTATCTTACCCGATAATCGCCCTTAAATACTTTCTCCAAAATCTCTCACTCGTCTTTTGAAGATTTAACACTCCTTATCTTCTCAAAACTAGACTCATCAATAACTTGGTATAATATGCACAAAACTATTTTATTCTCTGCACGCATCTCTTTTAACTCCTTGTTTTGGGCCGTGTAATGTAACTATTCTCAACCAACTCCCAATTATTTTGGAATCGAAGAAGAATTTTCATTTGAAGAGTCTAATTATCATAATTAACTATTTTTATCAATCAATCGTGAGTCATCACATCTTTCAAGCTTTCACACTCAAAACACTAAAACAAAAGTCTTTGATACCAATTTAATAATGAATAATTTTTGGAATTTCTATAATCTATATATTATTATACCTTTATCACAATTATCAAATAATACATCTAAAATATTTGAAAATTGAAATTTGATTTCCTATTTTCCTAACTTTAAATTCTATTGACAACCTAGAATCGCAATCACTTATTCTTATCCTTACAAAATATTTACTAAATTAAAATATTTAAACTAATATTAAAAATTTTTAGTTGACATTTAATTTTATTAACAACATGTATTAATGCACATGGTGATTGGATGTGATCAAACCAAAGGTACCCTAACACACCTGGCATTTGGACAAGAGAACAGGTGGAAGCTTGGAAACCTATTGTTAGCGCTGTTCATGAAAAGGGTGGTATTTTCTTTTGTCAACTTTGGCACGCTGGTAGAGTCTCCAATTATGGTAATACTAACTCTTCTATCCAACAATTAATATATTCTTTCCAATCCATTTTCATTGCTTCAAATTTTATTAATCTATATCAAATTAACTTTCATTAGATTAATAACGAGATCTAAAAGTTTAGTCAAATTTATCCACCATGTAAGTTTAAGTTTCGGTAATGAACAGAAATGATGAGTTTAGTTTGTACGTGTGTGTAAACATACAAGTGTAGAATACCAACCAGATGGCGAAGCCCCAATATCAAGCACAGAGAAGCGGCTTCGTAAGGATATCGCCAACAGTAAAGCAACAGCTGATAGATACTCAACTCCTCGCCGGGTGAGAGCCGATGAAATCCCCAGGCTAGTCAATCACTTCGTAATTGCTGCCAAAAATGCGATGGAAGCGGGTAGGTTTTGATTAATTTGGTGTTATTAATTAAGTGCATGGTGATGGTGATGGTGATGGTGATGCATACACATACAGGTTTTGATGGAGTGGAGATCCACGGAGGGAACGGGTACTTACTGGATCAGTTCCTGAAGGACGAGGTGAACGACAGAGATGACGAATACGGAGGTAGCTTAGAAAATCGTTGCCGTTTCCCACTGGAAGTGGTGAAGGCAGTGGCTAATGAGATCGGAGCTGACAAGGTTGGGATTAGGCTCTCCCCTTTCGCCGATTACAACGATTGCGTAGACTCTGACCCTCAGGCATTGGGCATTTACATGGCTCACTCATTGAATGAATTGGGCATTCTGTATATTCACCTCATTGAGCCAAGGATGGTAACACAATTCCAAAAGTTTGACACCAAATGGTCCCTAAGGCCAATTAGGAGGGCCTTCAAGGGGACTTTTATTGTCGCTGGTGGTTACGATAGGACTGACGGGAATGAGGCTATATCCACCGCTGCCGCCGATTTGGTCGCTTATGGCCGCCTCTTTTTGGCCAATCCTGATCTCCCCACAAGATTTGAGCTCGATGCTCACTTAAACGAACCCGATCCCGCCACCTTTTATACGCATCACCCTGTGCTTGGATACACGGATTACCCTTTTCTTCATCACCACATATAATGCATACTATTTTATTCCTCTTCCACTGTAACCACATCAAGATTGACTAATGATATGTATATAATTATAATATTTATATAATTATTCTCTAATTCTGTTTAATTATAATAAATATAAAAATATAATTTTTTTTGTTATTATTATTATCTTTAACACAATTCGACGGGATATAATCACACATTTTATATTAGCATTTAATGTATTATTTATTTTAATTTTATATATATATTTCTGGTTTATTTAATTTTTTCATTTTAAATAAAATTAATAAATTAAAATTTATTATTTTTCTATTTTCTTTTTTTATGTTGTGTATGAATTAAAATATAAATTTGAGAGAATAAAAAAAATAATAAAAAGTGAGGTTCTTTGAATTGAGAGGAAGAGAATAAAAAGTGAAAAATATGAGTGAAAATATTATAAAAGATGTATGATTAATTAAAATATTATTTTATTAATTTTAAATAAATTATTTTTTATATAATATTTATTACTATAATAATTAAATCATAAAATAATAATATTTTAAAAAATTAAGACATAATAATTATGTAACGAAGATAATTAATTATATATTTATATTTTTTTCTTCATCCATGAACAGAGTAAACAATAAATTTGTTTATTTATTCGATCTCAATTTCTAGTAAATCATCACTCCCGTCTTTTCCATCTTAATACAAGCTATTAAACTATTTTGAATAACATGTTTTCAATATTTTTTATTTTTATATTAAAACTTTATCAACATTTATTTATATTTAATTTTTGTCTCGAATGAAAATAAAAAAATACTCATATTTCTCTTCTTTTCTATTAAAATATTCTCAAATTACACGTTTTTTTTAATTATTTTTCATTCTTAAAAAATTAATAAAAAAAAAGCGAATATACAAAGATAAAAACGGTTGTATTTCCCACTAATAATATTAGAATGGACTATAGGATAAATTCCCTTAACTTATATTTAGATTAAAAAATGAATCTGAGGAAATAAAAAAATGTGAAAAAAATAATGAATTAAAAGAAAAGAGTAAAAATAATAAAAATAAATCAATTTATTTATTATTTGAATATATATTTTTAATAATTTATATAATAATAATAATACAATAGAAAATATTAATTAAACTTTTTTTAAACATTGATTACATTTTTATATTATATAAGATTATATTATCTATAAAATTAAAAAATTATCACTTTGATAGGCATATGTAAGAAGACAAAATAACGATATTTTATAATTTTTTTATATAAAAATACATATTTTCATCTCATTTTTTTCATTTAATGTTTCCCTAATTGGAAAATATGTTGCCACATCATGCCGTCGTGTCAGTAGAAGTTATAATACGACAGGTAAGATTAGTTACTATACAAAATAACTTTTCTCATGTATTTCTTTGCCTTTGTGCACCACACAGACAGATATAAAGGGAAGTTTTCGCAGTTAAAAAAAAGGGTTGTGTTTGTTATGTTTTAGAAGCTACGAGTAAAAACAGATTAAAAATTAAAAAAAAAAAAAAAAGAAGAAGAAAGGAAAACGTGTCAAAAATGTTTTGATCTTATTTATTTTATAAACTGAAAAAAAGATATATTTTTTCTTTAATACGGTTTTAAAAATTATCTATATATAACGTTCAGAGGACATCTTATTATGTTATTTGTTAAAACAGATTCATTGATAAAATATCAAACGATTGTTAAATTATATGGAAAATTTAATCTGCTGGAGGAAAACTGTGAATTTATAAATAAATATAGAGAGGAAAACTGTGAATTTAGGCTAAAGAAAGGAAAAAATGGTTAAAAGGGCGGTAATATGGATATAGTTAGTGTGTTGCAGTTGGCATGGGGCAAAATTGGTGTTCCAAAAATGGCGTGAAGAGCACACAGATATAGACAATTTGTATTTGATTAGTTATGAATGGATGAGAATGGTTAATATGGTAGATGATATTATATAGAGATAGAGATGGATGCAGATTGGGGATTTGGGATTTGGTGTGAGGAGAGAAAGATTGATGTAATTTAAGGGAGAGAGGGAGATGAACTGCTTTTGTACTGGTCTTCGGGGGAAGAATGAGGCCGCCGAGATAACTTTAGGGTCAAACTCAAAGGCAAAGCCCAAGAAACCGTCGGCGACTAGTTTCAGTTTTCGCGAGCTTGCATCGGCAGCGAGGGGTTTCAAGGAAGTGAATTTGATTGGGGAAGGAGGTTTTGGAAAGGTGTACAAGGGTCGTCTCTCTACAGGGCAGCTTGTGGCTATAAAACAATTACGTCTCGATGGAGAAACTCATCAGGGTAATCGGGAATTTGTCACCGAGGTTCTTATGTTGAGCCTCCTACACCATTCTAATCTTGTTAAGCTATGTGGCTACTGCACCCACGGAGATCAAAGGCTTTTGGTTTATGAATACATGCCTATGGGAAGCCTCGAACAACTTCTTGAAGGTATATCTGTTTCTTTCTTTATCTATCTATCTATCAATTCATTTCTTTCCTTCTATGTATGAATAAATCTGATATCTGAGAACAAGCAGAGAAAAAACCACTGAGTTGGAAAACGCGACTGAAGATTGCGGTGGGGGCTGCCCGGGGCCTCCAGTATCTCCACTGTTCAGCCAATCCACCGGTTATCTATCGGGACTTGAAATCTGCCAACATCTTGCTAGACAACAATTTACACCCAAAACTCTCTGATTTTGGACTTGCGAAGCTAGGACCTGTCGGAGACAACACCCATGTCTCCACCAGAGTCATGGGAACGTATGGCTACTGTGCCCCCGAGTATGCCATGAGTGGCAAATTAACCATTAAATCTGATATCTACAGCTTCGGCGTCGTCTTGCTCGAGTTGATCACCGGACGCAAGGCAATGGATGTCACCAGGAAACAACGGGAGCAAAGCTTAGTTGCATGGGTAAATGCATGCACACATGTGTAATTACATTCTGAATCTCTCTTCTTATATCTCTAGTCATTAATTCTTACATGTGCCACATTTGTTGTGTGTTGTGATTCCAGTCTAGGCCATATATGAGTGACCGGAGAAAGGTTTCGCTGATTGTTGACCCTCTGTTGGAAGGAAACTACCCTTTACGATGTTTGCACAATGCAATTGCGATCACTGCAATGTGCCTCCAGGATCAACCCAATCTTCGTCCGTCCATTGGTGACATTGTTGTTGCATTGGAGTATCTGGCCTCTGAAGGTGTTTCCGACGTCAGCAGGCAGCCACCACGCCAATCACACTCCCAATCAGACACAGACTAGAATTAAATATGTTTCATCTGTAATATATTCCTTTTAGCTTTCATAACTTCTTAAATGATTTTTTATTTTATTATTTTACTATTTTATTTTAGTCCCTGTCAATATATATAAATATATTTTGTACCTGTACCACATCAATAATTTACTTTTATTTTCTAACAATTCACTCTACGGCTAATTCAAAATTGAAATATTATAACAATTAAAAGCAAAAGAATTAAGGTATTACAGGGACTAAAATAAAATAAAAAATAATAAAAAAAAAAGAAATTTTTACCAAAATCATTTAATATTTACTGTCAGTCACAGCAATAGTGTGACAATAAATTAATTAATTTCCAAACCCAGAAGGAACAGGGAGCAAGGCCAAACCCCTCTCTATATATGTTAAACTTTTATGTAATAATGATCTTATATTTTATTAATTTAATTATGAGATTTTATATATTAAATTGTAGTCTTTTATTCTTGATTACTGTATTATCTTTTCTCATCACTCTTGTACATTAAATATCTCACATGGTCATTTCGTTATTTTGTATTTATTCAATCCTAATTGATTTAGTTGTTGATATCAAAACATTTTATATCTATAAAATTCAATTTATAAATCTACCCCACATAACCACTTAATATTAATAGTTTGTTTCTTCAATCGATTTAATAATAAAATAGATTATTCATTCTTGGCAAACAAAGAAAGGGAATTTAATTCTCCATAATTAACACACTACAAGAAAAAACACTATTAGCGACCGAAAAAATCGGTTGCTAATGACAAAAAATCAGTCGTTATTCATTAGCAATCGAAATTAGCGACCAGAAATGGTTGGTCGCAAAAGGTCAAGTCGCTAATTTGTTAGCGACCGATTTACATTTTGGTCGCCAAATAGCGACCGATAAGGTGGTCGCTAAGGTGGTCGCTAAATAATTTGGTTACTTATTCCTTAAAGACCAAAATAGCGACCGAAATTAATATAATAAATCGGTAAAAAATAGCGATCAGATATATTCGATCGCTAATATATTAATTAAATTATTTAAATAATAATTAAAATCGATCGCTAAATCGATCGCAAAAATAGCGACAGAAATTAATATACTAAATCGATCGCTAAATTGGAGACAAAGTTACTAATAATAGCGATCGATATAATCGATCGCTAATACATTAATTGAATTATTTAAATAATAATTTAAATCGATCATAAAAATAGTGACGGAATAAATTTGGTCGCTAAATTTGAATTGTATATTATAATATATTTGTAGCGACCAAAAATTCGGTCGCTAATCTAACCAAATCTGAAAATTTTCGTTTAAAATTTTGTATATCCAATTTTGCAAAATTTGTACCTGCTTAATTGATCCAAACAGAACACAAATGAAAACTTAAGAACTAAAGTCAAATTATTCAAATCATAATAAGAACAATTCAAAGTCATAACAGAAATAAAATGTTTCTAAACAACTACTCAATATTCAAAGTCTTAAAAATTAGTCCTTTGGTATATTGTCAGTATCATGTTGACTTGTAGTAGGATGACTATTCATTTGAATATGTTGTAAAATAAGTTGCATCTGCTTCATCTGCCCATCTTGTTGGCGTTGGTTGTTCCTCAACTCCTGCATCTCTTCTTGAAGTGTCTTCTCCTTATTATGCTTTGCCACCAATTCAGCATTTAACTTTTCAATAGTCTTACGCATTTGTTCAATTTGATGAAATACTGGAGTTTGAGTAATAGAAGATTGAGAACCTGATGTAGTAGTGAACTTTTTGCTCAATGTACCAAGTCCATACACATTTCCTTTTTTATTTTGACCTCCAACAACTGAAAAGTATATTTCATTATTATCAATAGAGACAATAGGAGACTCTTGTGAAGATGAGCCTTCACGCAAGTTATGTTGATGGACTTCTTCTCTGCGCTGCATATATTGTTCCTAAAAATGAAGTGAAATATAATTATTATGAAGAAAACATATATTGAATAATAAACTATAACTTAGATGTTAAACATACAACAAGATAACGAGTTTTTTCATTGACCCATTGTCCAGTCTTTAATTTCTTTGTCCTCTCAACAACCTCCCAAACGGTTGGTTCCCGTTGAAACTCCGTAGTCTACACATTAAAATGAGACAAAATGCATTACCTAAAGTCTATACATTTTTTTCTAAGGTATTTATCCATTACTTATGCAGTACGTATGATACAGACCACCAAATAATTGTGTAAATAAACCCAATAATTATGAAATTTCTTTTCACTAAGATCCAACAGATAATTAAAACAAATTACAAATGGTTAACCTGAGGGCGTATAGTCTCAACAAGTTCCCAAATTGGTCCGTCAAGCACCACCAAATCCGCATGATAGAGGGATCCAAGAACCTATCTACTTCACAAATCCACCTACAACAAACGATAAGGAAATTCTGTCAAAATTATGTCTCCTATTATTCACAATGCAAGAGAATAACGAGCATATAGTGCCACCTTTCTTGGGCCAAACAAACCAAACCTTGGTTGAATATACATTCAAGCACATGTTTTACATATAGTCTCACGTACATAAGAGAACAAAAATGTCGACAAAAATCACATCGAAATGTTTGTTTAAATACAAATATATATATATATATATATATATATATATATATATATATATATATATATGGAGTGAATCCCATCCCAGATGAACCAGACATCAATTCACCTGGTAACAAGTAACCACTGAAGGTCGTTTCGGTGGCAGAGGCTGCGGACGAGGTTAAGAAGAGAGGTGTGGCGCGGTGGCTCACGGGGTGGCGCGCGGTTGACGAGGAGCTTTGGTGGAGGTTGGATTAGGGTGAGGGCTGACTTGGGGGAGCAGGGAGGGGGCTAGGGCTCGGGGATGACTACGAGTGGGTGTTGGGGTGGCGGCTAGGGAAGAATGAGAGAAAAAGAGTGAAGGTGCTGGGGGGGGTTTATTAAAAATAATATTATATTTTTAAAAATAAATTATAGCGGTTCCACTGAACCGCTATTAAAGGTGAATCTCTAATAGCGGTTCCACTGGAACCGCTATTAAAAGTTAATCTCTAATAGCGGTTCCACGTTAACCGCTATCTAATATAAATTTTACATAGCGGTTAAAGTGGAACTGCTATTATATATTTTCAAATATAATCGATTATTTGAAAATTTAATCGATCATAATGGTTGTATATGATAGCGGTTCCACTGGAACAGCTCTTAAAACAGAACATCTAATAGCGGTTAAACCTTAACCGCTATCTAAAATGTAGTTTAGATAGCGGTTAACGTGGAACCGCTATTATATAGGTTGAAATATGATCGATCGTTTGAAAATTTAATCGATCATCATCAAAACTTACATTAACTATTTTTTTGAATATTATGTTTTTAAATTTGGTAATATAGAAAACGTTTCGAAAGCAAAATGTTAAATACTTTTAAATATTAAAATTGACTTTATAAAAAATTAGGAAAAAAAATTAATCAAAAAGAGTTCAAAAATGTATTATAATATTTTCAGTTTTAGTTTAATTATATTTTTCATTCTCAAAGTAGAAAAATATATTGTAATTATTTTAATTTAATAAAATATAATTTAAATTTTTAATACTAAAATTAAAAGATTAAATAATAATAAATTTAATTCTTTAAATTTAGTATTTAGAAACTAAAATTATAGTTTCTCTGTTTTAAAAAATTAAAATAAATATTTAAAAATAAAAATCAAAACTAGTATTATCTTAAATTTATTAAAAGTATAATTAAATCTCTATTTTCTTCAATTTTTCTTTTTTAACTTCTCAATTCTGCATTTTTGTCAATTCCATCATTATATTATCATCCTCATCTCCTCCCATCGTTCTACTTTATGTTTACAATAATTAATATTCTTAAATAATTTATATTTTTATTTATAATTTTTTAATATATATTTGAGAAATTAATCAATTATAATCTATTATTTGAAAAACTAATCAATTATTATCAATTATTTAGAAAACTAATCGATTATAATTAATTATTTGAAAAAATTATCCAATATGATCGGTTATTTGGAAATTTAATCGATCATAATGGTTGTATATGATAGCGGTTCCACTGGAACCGCTCTTAAAACAGAACATCTAATAGCGAGTTAAACCTTAACCGCTATCTAAAATGTAGTTTAGATAGCGGTTAACGTGAAACCGCTATTATATAGGTTGAAATATGATCGATCATTTGAAAATTTAATCGATCATCATCAAAACTTACATTAACTATTTTTTTGAATATTATGTTTTTAAATTTGGTAATACGTAAAACGTTTCAGAAAGCAAAATGTTAAATACTTTTAAATATTAAAATTGACTTTATAAAAAATTAGGAAAAAAAATTAATCAAAAAGAGTTCAAAAATGTATTATAATATTTTCAGTTTTAGTTTAATTATATTTTTCATTCTCAAAGTAGAAAAATATATTGTAATTATTTTAATTTAATAAAATATAATTTAAATTTTTAATACTAAAATTAAAAGATTAAATAATAATAAATTTAATTCTTTAAATTTAGTATTTAGAAACTAAAATTATAGTTTCTCTGTTTTAAAAAATTAAAATAAATATTTAAAAATAAAAATCAAAACTAGTATTATCTTAAATTTATTAAAAGTATAATTAAATCTTTATTTTCTTCAATTTTTCTTTTTTAACTTCTCAATTCTGCATTTTTGTCAATTCCATCATTATATTATCATCCTCATCTCCTCCCATGTTCTACTTTATGTTTACAATAATTAATATTCTTAAATAATTTATATTTTTATTTATAATTTTTTAATATATATTTGAGAAATTAATCAATTATAATCTATTATTTGAAAAACTAATCAATTCTAATCAATTATTTAGAAAACTAATCGATTATAATTAATTATTTGAAAAAATTATCCAATATGATCGGTTATTTGGAAATTTAATCGATCATAATGGTTGTATA